TTAGCTGCACGCACGTCTAGTTTTCGATGATTTGTTACCTTTATACCGCGCACTGCAGTTTTAGATCGCATATTTCAAAATTTTTCATTTTTGCTTTCAGGTAAGGCAGGCAACTGGGAAATTCTGCACGATTTCAAGGTAAATGTGCTTTCTTCAGTATTGTCGGATGTAGAAAGAGTAGAGTCTCTTAGGCAATGCGAGTTTCAACTTCCTTCTAATACATATCGAAGATTTTGTTTTCGTGGAGAAGCATTTTCAAACACAGGACTGCTTTAAGCAGAAAGTTTTGCTGTTTGTAAATTGCTTGGATCTTATTCAGCATCGCAAAAAGATTTGGATGAATGGTAAGTTAAGTGCAAATCCCCTTCTTTGTTCCTCCAATATGTTTCGCTCATCTCCTCGGTTGTCTGGCTGTAATATGTTTGATTGGCTCCATCCTTGTGGAGGCGGGTTGTAAACCTTTCCTGATTTCAAGGATAAAATTGTTGAAACTCTGCATCATAAAAAAAATTTTTTTGTACTTTCTCGCAATCAAAAATCGTCATGCTTTGAGATGGCAAGACTCCCTCCACACGAATCTGCGAGCTGATGATATACATCAGTTTCGCTCACATTTCAGGAAAGAACCGAGAAGGTACGAGCAAAACAGGAAAAGTCATAAACGAACGTAAAATACCCACCTTTACCATCTAGCGTCTCTGCACTACTAATATGGAATTCACAAAAAGCTTCTCTATGAAACACAGCATAAAAGAACAGAACTTTCGATATCAATTAGAAGGAAAGTTGAATTTCGTATCGCCTAAGAGACACTCTACTCTTTCTACATCCGACAGTATTGAAGAAAGCACACTTACCTTGAAATCCTGCAGGATTGCCCATTTGCCGCCCTCACCTGGAATCAAATGTGAAAAATTTTGAAATTTGATATGTAAAACGGCAACGCACGGTATAAAGGTAACAAATCATCAAAAACCAGACGTGCGCGGAGCTGAAAACAAAAAAAAGCACCGGAAAATAAGAAGAACCGGCAAAATTTGGCGTCGAATTTTAGCCGTACGCGCTGCTGGTGCAAGTACGGCACGGCGCGAACCTCGCACCTCATCCGGGATTTCAAAATTGTGTGCAATAGCACACACGGCACCGAGGTGACTAGACGGATGACGTCTACTATACTCACTCTTGTATCTAATCACTCAAGAGTGAGTGGTACCGTGCGCCAGGAGTGTAGCCAATCGGCGGCATCTCCTTTCGAGCATGCGCCAGGAGTGTAGCCAATCGGCGACATCTCCTTTCAAGCACCAACTCGTGTACATTCTACCCTTTACTCGGTTCACCGCCTTCCTTCGTATATAAGGAGCCTCCGAATGTATTAGAGGTTGCTCCCCGGTCCACATCGGGGCACCTCATCACCTCTTCTCGAATAATCTACGCCCGTGCAATAAACCTTACTCCACAACTCGTCTACCCCCTAATCACTTGGTACCCACCAAAAAAGTGTTTAACATTCAATGTTCCACGAGGTTAAAATAGGTTGAATGTAAAGTTTGATTACTTCAAAAAATGAATCGTAGAAATTCTGAAAGACAAGTCATAGAACTACAAAAAGTTGCTTTTGTTGATAAAAGGTTTGCACTATCTGATAGTTATTAAGGCTCCTCTGAAAATCTCATACAAAAATTTTGAAAAATAGTGAAATTTGGACAAGGTGAAAACGAATGGTTGCAATTTCCAGCGAATATCTAATCACTCTCTCAAGGAAACACAATGGGAGTTTAGCCTGGAAAGAGAAAGAAATTCTGCATCGGATACATTTTAAAGTGATTGTTTATCTTGATTCCAGCGTGTTTGCTGATGGATTGAAAAAACTGACAAAACTTTTGCACCAACCTAATATATTTTAGGTTGGAAGGGAAGTTCTGTCACACCACTTTCGAAAATTCACAGTTTTTTGATTTCACAACGAGTGCATGTATTGGATCCATCTGAAAAAAGAAATCATGTGATTTCATAACTGCATGTAGCCGGCTTTCCATCACGCACACCTCGAGTAGATAAATATGTTAGAAGAAAATTGCCCAAATTCTGACTTTTCTGACTTTGACTATCAAAAATCTGAAACTTGCAAAGAAAATCGTAGCAATCAATATTATAGGTTACTTAATTTGCTCTGACTGAGCATCGAGCGAGTTAAATGTCTCTAGCAAGCAATACAAAAAAGCAAATCTGATGGTTTTTTGGCGTTCTCAAAATCATATCTTTTTGTAGAGACATTCAATCAGCTCAAATTTTGCTCGTTTAGAAAAGCAGGTCAAAAACCTACAACCTATAATCTGAGAAGCATTTACATTGCAAAAAGATTTTGCAAGCAAACTGTGCTTTAGCTGATAGTACAAAATACTTTCGAACTTTCAAGAAAACTGGATTCTCGTACGTGAAGATTTTATGAAAATCTTAGTTTAAAAAGCATTCGCACCGCAGGAGATGCTGTTTTTTCAAAAAGACTCTGCAAGCGAGCGCTGTTTTGTTGGGGGTGGCGGTCAAGATGAACGATAGCATGTGCCAGCCGCCAGCTGGGTACCGTACGCGGTGCGCTGATCGCTCCCCCCTTGTTAGTTAGCCTAGGAATGCGTTGCAGCTATTAAGCTCTCTAATACTTCGTTCATGCTTCTTCAGTTGGTTGCAATTTGGATGACAGCAGATTTCAAAATTTCACCTAAATTGAAAATCAGTTTTCAGATCATTTTTCATTATAAAATTAGTTTGCAAGCTCTTTCTAATGTATTTTAATTATTTGTTCCTAGTAGGCTCGTCCAAAATAATTTTTATTGTATGTATGAGGAAACTGTTTCGAAAATGCTTGGAAAAGTGTTTTTCTTTATTCACACTGTTACCGTATTGAACACGCTTTATTGTGCACTCTCAAGTTCAGTTCAAAAAAAGCTAGCTTATTGAGAAATACTACTATTATTGCTGAAATGACCAACACCATTATCTCTTTTATCGGAAAAGTATTTGAAACCCTAATCCTAGCAAAAAACAGATTTCATTGCAAGAATTCAAAACAAGCATTATAGGCGAATTTTGTTTCAGGCAAACTGACTCGTTTTGCAAATATGCGGTCGTATCACATAATTTTTTTATTTTGCTCTCAAAACTGCTATCCTCAATATAAGTCGATCTGTGACTCAATAATTGCGTGTGAACTAGTCGTAAGATGTGAGGTTACTCAGATAGTCATGCCTGAGGTGTTCTAGATTGATTTCACACTTCAAAGTTGGATAACCAGGAGTCACTCGGTCATTCATAGGTAAATCAGCAAATCTTTCGAATTTCACGACCAACACATCAGCCGTTCATTGATTGCCAAAAAAAGATACAAAAAATCAAAACAAGATTCTGTAAATAGTCAGCTTCACCCCAGCTTGCAACAAGCTTATATCTCACTATATCAAAAGTTATTTTTACTTGACGGTATCGTCCGAGAAACTCGTCCGCCGCAGTAGGGCGGAGCTTGGAGCGAAACGTTATTGCCAGTTCATGACTCCGCGCACTGCTACCAGCTATCGTTCATCTTGACATATACCTATCGTTCTATCGTTCATCTTGACATATACTTATCGTTCTTGACATATACCTACCGTTCATCTTGACATATACATATGTATTGGATCCATCTGAAAAAAGAAATCATGTGATTTCATAACTGCATGTAGCCGGCTTTCCATCACGCACACCTCGAGTAGATAAATATGTTGGAGAAATTGCCCAAATTCTGACTTTTCTGACTTTGACTATCAAAAATCTGAAACTTGCAAAGAAAATCGTAGCAATCAATATTATAGGTTACTTAATTTGCTCTGACTGAGCATCGAGCGAGTTGAATGTCTCTAGCAAGCAATACAAAAAAGCAAATCTGATGGTTTTTTGGCGTTCTCGAAAATCATATCTTTTTGTAGAGACATTCAATCAGCTCAAATTTTGCTCGTTTAGAAAAGCAGGTCAAAAACCTACAACCTATAATCTGAGAAGCATTTACACTGCAAAAAGATTTTGCAAGCAAACTGTGGTTTAGCTTATAGTACAAAATACTTTCGAATGCTAAGTACTTTCAAGAAAACTGGATTCTCTACGTGAAGATTTTATGAAAATCTTAGTTTGAAAAGCATTCGCACTGCAGGAGATGCTTTTTTTTAAAGACTCTGCAAGCGAGCGCTGTTTTGTTGGTAGTATAAAGGTCGAAACAATCATAAAAAATCGCACGTATAGATCGCAAAACTCAAAAATTCTCTAACCAGGATGATGTCCTCCAGAATGTCACACACTGAGGTTCCGGAGGTGAAGAACAGAAAGAGGTTATCATTTGGGAATTTTAGGGGGGGGGGGGAGAAGAAGGGACCTTCCAAAAGATTAGTACCTAACTTCTTGCTTAACTCTGTTTGTACCTCAAACACAATACTTAGCTGCTAACGCAGATTATAGCTTAAGCACGGAATGCCACGAAAGCTTCTCATATAGCAGTATTTCTTACCTACAGTCACTAGCACCCGATTCAGCTTTGCCAAAACGAGTGGTACGGGGTTCCTTGTTTACATTAACTATAATAATTAGAAAGAGTACTCAAGTTCTTTCTTCATTCATTTCTTCTTCATCTTCTTTTCAATGAGCCTCCCAAAGATATTTATGTGATTTCAGTTATTTATAATCTTTCTTGTTTTTCGGATTCCTTTCCAGAGCATTCATGTGATCTACAAAACCCCTAGTATTACTTAGTTGTTTTGGAATACCAAATAGTGATGCCTCGCGCACGTTTCGAATGTGCGGGGCGCAGGTGGGTAGAGACAATGTCATTAGCTGAAGAACAATTGTAATTTTATACGCTCATCAATTAAGATTATTCAATTTGTGCGTATGAATCACGTCTTTGGAGATGACTCGTGAATAAATTTGGGTATTAGTCTATAAAAACATGCTAACGAAAAACTGTCAGCTAAACACACCTTGACCAGTCCGTTTGAATCGGAAGCGATGGATCCTGTTGGACCACAACAATCGAAACTCTTGCCGCCATTCTTGTCAAATGATGGTTTTGGAGTGCGATAGTCTTCCTGTTCCACCGATGGAGCAGAGGCAATGGTTGCACCCTGTAGGAATATGCTGAGCTTGTAGAATAGATTATACATGGTCTAAATGGACACTGCTGACCAAAACAATAGGTCCGCTATAAGAATTGCCTCAAGTCACTCGCTAGTGAATGAATTGATCCGCAATTTCTCCGGTTGTGTGTATACCAGCATACCATTCGTAATAGGATTGGCCTTGGTCGGTTTAATCATCCAAGGAATATCAGAAAAGTTTCAAAAACTGGCATGAGGTATGGCCAAAACTATAGATCCATTTTAAGTTTTCTATCACCGAAGACTTCTTCGCTTCCAAAGTCTTTGTAGAAAGGCATTGTTGAAAGGGTCAAAGAACTGCTTTAAGTTAGCTGTGCCATACTTTTGAAAGAGGCCCATAGGCTTTTTTGACTTGAAAATATTCACAAGCGCTTTGTCCCTAAAAGTCGACAAGAAAGTCCTGCGCTTTTCTGTGAAATAGGATGCGACGGAATCTCACCTATCTTTTTTAGATGATTAGCGACGTAAGAAGCTGAAGCAAAAAGTGAGCAATCTTTGAACAAAAAGAATTCTGTACATTTTCTCGAGGATGTTCACAAGGTAGTTTTGCTTTGTTTCCGGAGAATAAGTTTTGCAACTTTCCCTCCCCCCCCCCCCCACAATGGTGAGAAGCCTCATTGGGAGTGGTGGTGACAATGGGTGCCGAACGGCGATTCGCAGCCGAGTGTATACTTTGGTAGGGCCTCCCAAGCTGTGAAGGAGTTTGACGTTTCCGGTTTCGAGCGGATGCCTAGCCAAACGCCGGCCAGGCCAGATCCCCGCTGTCTGGTTTTTTGGTCGCTAGGGGGTTCTCGCCGCTCTACACCCGGGTCAGCGATCTCCCGTGGAAGTCAAGAGTAGACTTAGTAATTTTGCTCCTGTAGGGGAAACATTTTTGATATTCTATCAGCAAAAAGAAGAGAAATAAACTTTGCACATCGGATGCCGCCTATGGCACCGGGTGGTAGCAAGAACGATGTCAGGTACTCAGGGCCCCTTTCGGATTGGACAAAAACGACCGTCTGCCAGGACGACACGCCATGGAGACTGCCTTATGCTCTGCACCTACAACGCCGGGACAGTTTTCACAAACGCCGACCTCCACACTCTTTTCGACGCTTTGGAGCACATCAAGTACCACGTCATCGCTCTGCAGGAAACGAAGTCCAGCAAGAAGGACGTGCGACAGATGAGATGGGACACGCATCATTCGTGGTGAGAAGGTTTCATCACAAAACGTTGGAGGCGTTGGTTTTGTCGTCCACCATTTATCGTCCATCTTGTCGATTCGCATGAGATCCTATCACCTCGAATAGCCTTTTTACGACTACGACTTCTACGTCAGAAGACTATCAGCATAATCAGCTGCTACTCACCAACATCACCAGCTGACTAGATGCTAGATGCTCTACGAAGACGTGGGACAGGTCGTCCGCAACGAGAAGTCCTTCTTCAAGTTCGTTGGGGCGACTTCAACGCGAAGATCGGGATGCCACTAGAAGAGGAATATAGGACCGGAAGTTTGGATATGGACTCCGTAACGAAAACGGCAACCGTCTCGTTGGGCTTCTCTCCGCTGCACGACTTTTCGTGGAAATTCCATCTTCATGAAGAAAGAACATCACCGGTGGACTTGGAAATCGCCTAACGGAACGACTTACGCGGAGATCGACCACATTCTCACCAACCGAAGGTGGAGCTTGCTCGATGTCCCAGTAGTTCCATTGTTCTGCAGTGGCTTCGATCACCGCCTCTTTCGAGCGAAGATACGATTCAGTCGTAGGCTGGAAAAGAAAGTCTGTCACAGTACCGCAAGAAGGAAGAATGTCGTTTATGACGGTAACAGGCTGGAAGAGTTCATATCAAGTTGTGACTGGCCCATTGAGGAGGACCCAACTACGACTACGACCGGCTTCTGAAAGGATTGAGAGCTTGCGGAGAGTGCGCCTCATTAACTTCTGAGAAGAAATTGGAACGCATTTTGAAGACCACCAAGGAATTGCTCAAAAGAAGTAGATTTCTGAGGCAGGATCCGAATGCAACTCATCACGAGCGACTGATAGCCAACGCCAGTTGCAGAACAGCTTTGCGAGAGGATCCCAGGAAGCACAGGCAAGCCCAAGATACTGGAAGCAGCCGAGGAAACAAGAAGTCTCAAGAAGTGGAAGGGACCTCTGCGAATAACATGTACCGCTGGCTGCACTATTGAACGAAGACGGGACTCCGACTTCTTCCCGATAAAAGATGGGATCTATTGCGAAGAACCTCTACACCAACCTCTTCCGCTCATCAACACCCGTGACGATGCCCGTTTTCCCGCTGGAGAAGTACCATTAAGGATTCTGCCTGCTGAAATGCGTATTGCGATACAGAGGAAACCATCTACACGAGGTTCTAACGTCGCATTTAACATCTTACCTTTAGAAGGAAAAGATTTTCGACCAGTGGAGAACATCAATCACCGCTCTTCAAGAAGGGCGAACAGGGGGATGTTCGGAAGTACCGTCCAATATGCCTGCTAAGTATGCTGTACAAGCTTTTTACGAAGATTATCTCACTCGCATATCTAGGACACTGGATAAAGCTCAACCTCAAAAACAAGCTGGATTCTGCAAGGGATTCAGTTGCATCGATTACACCCAGACGGTTTTGAGAGTCATAGAAGTTTGCCGGATTACCGACTGCTTTTCGTCCTAACCTTCATCGACTACGAGAAAGCCTTCGACAGCGTCGGAACGAACGCCATTCTGTCAGCGTTAGTCGATCAAGGAGTAGACCCAACTTACGTGAGGACACTAGCCGACTGCTACAAGGGATGTACAACAACGATGCAGCTATTTCATCATTCCCTTACCATTTCAATTGGAAAGGGGGTTTGACAAGGCGACACTATCTCGCCGAAGCTGTTCACCGCGGCCTTGCGGTGGGTGATGTCACTGGACTGGGACGATAGAGGCATACGAGTTAATGGGAAATTTCTGTCCAACCTTCGTCTTGCGGATGACATCGTCCTTTTCTTGAGCGGTATCACTGAAGCAGAGGCGATGCTGAAGGTAAACGAAGTAGGGAAGAAGATCGGACTGCGAATATACCGGAAGAAGACTCAGTTCATGAAGAACGGCCTTTGCGAAAATGCAGAGATGAAATTGGAAGGCACTCCGAACATGGAGACGTCTTCTCACGTGTATTTCGGACGTTCGATGAGCATAGAGAACGACTTGAGGGAAGAACTAAACAGGATAAGTAGAGCCGCCTGGGCCTCCTTCGGGCCTCTGAAGGAAGCCACCGACCAACTGACGGACTCGGAGTTTCGTGCCCATCTGTTCGACTCACCGTTCTCCCGACCCTCTGTTACGCATCTGGGGCTTGGGCCGACACTGCAGCTACGCCGAAAGCTTTACGAACCACCCACAGAGCGCTCAAGCGCAGTCTTCTGAAGATGACCCGACGCAAGCAACATCTAGTCTGACTTCGCAGTACGGATATGAGAAGATTGTCCTGTCTTCGTGACCCAGCGGATTATGTTGCGAAAGCAAAACATTGATGGGCCGGTCACATCATGAGAAGAACAGACGGCAGATGGACAGTAAGGACATCTGAATGGATTCCAAACGTCTTCGAGGAAGACCGACGAGATGGGCAGACTGTTCGTGGAACGGATGGACCAGCTGAAAAATCAGCTGGATACGATTTTTGCCCCTGGAACTCGTGGACGCAGCCACCGACGACTACCCAGAAGATCGTGGAAGTTTGAAGCGAGGGACAGGGATCGATGGAAACTTCTGTGCTGAGGTCCGCACGCCACGTGAAGACGGGCCATCTAAGTTTCTAACAAGGAAAGGATACTTGGTGGCCGTGGCCTTTTGAAATGATATGTACATCAATAAATGCATCTTAAAGCGCTGATTTCAAATCTGTTTTCATTATCTGCTGTTTCCGAAAGAAGTTATGAACATTTATTTTCACCAAATATTGCACTGTTTTTGATGCAGGGTTCACCAATATCGTTAGAATGTTCGTTTACGCACTACAAAAGAGCGTCTAGATAAAGTAAAGTTTCACAATGAACTCAGAAAAACTGTCAAAGATACGTCAGAGTCTAAAAAGTTTGGATACTGATGATTTTGACCGCCTAAATCTCGCAATCAATATGATAAAAAGTCCATAACTTCGTTGAGGGAGTCGCACAGCAGATAGTGAACATAGATTTAGAGTCAGCGTTTCAAGGCGCACCTAAAGGTATTTTAAGGCAAAAGGCCGCGGTCACCAAGCATCCTTCCCTCGTAAGTAAGTAAGTGCTGCAGTCAACCTACTTGAGATTTGCGTGTGAAGGAATATATGAAAGGCACACTGTCCCAACTGAAACACTCATCAACAGTAAAATATGTTAGGCAATACAGCGTCTGCACAGCATGCATATTTTGACACATTTTTGATACCAAAGGACAAGGAAGGAAAGATTACCAGACCTGACCCTTTTTACTTATTCAAAGCAAAAGCAATGCACCAAACACTTACTAAGCTTCGATTCCGGTAACTTCTTCTTCTTTCGCTGAGAAATTTGCGATAGTGAGCTGAGTCCATCGATTGACCTGCTGTAAAGAATCTCACTTTTACAACAAATCAGATTTGCTAAAATGATGCAGTTCTGCAAAAGTGTTGGGGGAAGAGATCAGGGCTTAGCACGACTGTGGCATATGGACCATAGGTGGGATAGTATGACAATTTGCTCATCTCCCTCCGCTTCACCTCTGAGCCGAGACCGAGGTGACTCTTTTCACTAAAAGCCGAGAAGATATCGACCGTGAGGTAACGTTATGTCTGATAAAACTGCCACAGCTGCAACCTACTTGCAGGCTTTACGATCAAGAAGTAAGTCAGGGACTGTAATCGGCGTTCCTCCTTCTTTGTTTAAGCACCGTATGATTGGTCCGAAATAAGAATGAGTGTAAGCAGAGGTTTTCAACGATAAACGAATCCCCAATTGAGATTTTCGAGGGCTTAATACTTGGCTAGCAGTACAAAAT